GTGCAGGGCCCAGCGGGCGGCGAGAGGGCGGGCAGCCGCCGCTGGGCCGTGCGCGCGGGCAGGACGGCGGTGCCGTCAAGGGGCCGGTAGCCGTCAGGCCGCGGAGGCTTGCGGCGCGGCGAGCACCACGCTCCCCTGGGGCTTTCGTCGACCCCGAAATGCGTGGCTTGCACCATGGGCCGGCGGCAGCCGCGCCGCCGCTGCTGCCTGCCGCTTGCAGGCCACGCCGCTTGCAGGAGGCGCGCAATTTGCCGGACCAACTTGGCCCGTGTGCCGCCGCTGCTCTGCCGCAGGCTTCACGCGGCTCTGCTTGGACGACAACGAAAATGCCCGCTACTCCTTCCGCACGCCGTGAGCGCTGCAGCTGCTTGCCGTGCAGCCCGCTGCGAGGGCGGGCCGCAGCGCCTGGCGCAGCTGCTTGGTTGCATGCACGCTGGCAGCGTGTGCGTGTTTTGCCGGCCATGCGTCCTGTGTGAGCGCAGCCGCAGCGCGCAGGACTGGCGTCTCCTGCCCCACGCCGCCGACACTTCCCTCTCCTTCCACGGCTGGCTGCAGGAACCCGTGCCTAGGGGGCGCCGAGATGTGGGGCGAGATGTTCCTCAGCGCCCGCCCCAGGACCTGCAAGGCCTCGCAGCTGGAGCCGGTGCCCAACGTCTGGAACCGAGCGTGAGCTGTGCCGCCGCCCGCCGCTGCCCGTTCCCCACGCCTGCTGCTGCTGCTGTTGCTGTGTTTGCGGTGCCGCAGTTGCTTCTCCTGCGCTGCCGCTGCTGTCCAACCCCGCTGCCGTGAAGCCATCCATTTACCAGTTGCCGCCCATCCTGGCTGCCCTTGCTGCCGCTCCTCTTCCCAGCTCGCCGCTGCTGCTGCTCCCGCCACGCGCCGCCCTCCACACACCCTCCGCATGCCCCGCCTGCTCTTCCTGCCGCCCTACAGTGGGCTCAGCATGAACCCATCCAAGCAGGCGCCCCTCAAGTGCCCTCCCGCCTACACCCGGGCCGGCCCCGCCGACAAGCCCCTGCTGAAGGCCTTCCTCTCTGTCTACTTCACTTCCTCAGTGGTGAGACGCCAGCCAGCCGTGACGCGTGATACAGTCGGCTGTGTGAGGGATTGAGCCGCCAGCCGCCAGCAGGAGGGGCTGTGCTGGGCGTGCAGGGCGCGGGCACGTGTGTGCACAGCCGGGGGTTGCCTCTCGCGCCAAGCGGTGGGCCGTGGTGGGCGGGCGGGCGCCGGCCGTGCGGCCACAGGCTGTGCCGGCGGCAGCCGAGCACCGCTGCCCGCCAACCCGCCCTGCCATCCTGCCTGCGCCTGCCGCAGTTCATGGCCAAGACGATCGACCGGTACGACAACAACATGTGTGAGTGGGACTAGGGAGCCTGAGGATAGGATGGGGTGTGTTGTGGCACCTGCCTGCGTAGGACTAGGGAGCCTGAGGACAGGATGGGGCCCCTTGAGACAGCATGCTGTGGCGCCTGCCCTGCCTTTCTTTTGCTGTGTGCCGGCTGGCTGGACGCCGGGTTGCGGGCAGTGGCATCCTTGCTGACGCAACCCGCCGCCGCCTCCTTGCTTGCAGACTGCGACGACGCCTTCCGCTCCATCGACTATAGCAACATCGTCGGCTGCATCCGCAAGGCGGTGAGCATCGCTGTCAGCTCCCCCAGCCGGTGCAGCAGCAGCAGCAGCAGCAGCTGCCAGCCAGCTGCCAGCGCGGCGCACGGGAGCGAGGTCGGGGCCTCCTGCCCGTCATCCCGCCCGCCTGACGTCGCCTCTTGCCGCGCCGCCCTGGCCGCAGGATGCGCCCAAGGATAAAGCTATGGTGGTGGCCCGTGGCGTCATCACGTTCAGGTGCTACGCGCCCCCCGTGGGGGCGGGGCTGCAGACGCCGCTCAACACCATCGGTGAGATGGCCGGCCTGGGGGTGGCAGGGGCTGGCAGGGGCACGGCAGCCACCAAGGCCAGCCGTTGCTGCGCCCTGGGCCGCGTGTGCTGGCTCGAGCGGCGGGGCCCTGCCGCCTCCCATCCAGCTCTGCCAAGCTCTGCCAGCTGTGGCTGCTCCTCTGCAGGCCTGACGGTTCGCGGCATGTACACCATGCAGTGCAAGCCAAAGGTTGCCTTCAAGTGGTCTGGACCCAAGTAAAGGCTGCCCGGCGTGTGTGGCGGGTGGAGGGGCGGGAGTCGGCCAGCCTGGCACCCATACCCGCGCTTGCTCACGTGTTGGCGGGGTGGTGGCAGCCCGCAGCGGTGCAGGTTGGTATTGGCTCACCTGGCCCACCACCTCCCTGCTCCTCCTCCACGCCTCACCCCCCTGCTTTTTGCTACCTTTCTCCTCTTTCTCAGCTCGACGCCTTGACTCTGCGGCGGTGCGCCCCGCCTTCGTTTTGCACACACTCTGCCTCTAATTGCGCGCTTGCTTGTCAGCCCTCACTAGCATTGGAGAGCAATGCATTTAGTCCCAAGACGCCATGTAACCCACGGCCACGAGATGGGCGCAGAGAGCTGCCCGGATAAGGGAGCAGCGGCGAGGGAGCGGCGGCACGGCGTGCACGCTGCGCCGATCCATCTTGCAAGGCCCGGCGCCCGGCAGCGACATCGGGCGCCCTGTGCGTTTTGTGGCATTCTGTGGGTGTTGGCGGCCTTGAATCCATCGCACATTTGCAGCCAGGACGTGGTAGACACCCAGACATGGCGCAGGCAGCCCTGTCCGGCACCTTTCTGGGGGCCGCTGCCTCCTTGCAGGGCCGCACATCACGCCAATCGGCATCTCGGCGCCTCGCTGTGAGCGTCAGGGCCGATAAGGCCTTGATCGTGAACACAAAGGGCGGCGGCCATGCCTTCCTGGGCCTGCACCTGGCCAAGAAGCTGCTGAGCGCCGGCCATTCGGTGACCATCTTGAACGACGGTGACAAGGTGAGCACCGCCTTTGCCGCCTGTGCCGCCGCCGCCTTGCCACCGCCGCCGCTGCTTCCGCCGCTGCAGTGGCCGAGCTCTGCTCTGCCAGCGTAAGCCTCTCCACAGCATGGGGACCCCAGCAGCAGAGGCAGGCCAGTAGCCTCGCTGCTGGCCATGCCCGGCATTCCCCACCACGCACACACACCCGCGGCGGAGCTCTTCCTTTTCCGTTGCCACGCACACACCCCGACCCCACCCCACTTCCTCGAAATTGAGCTGTGCCGCAGGAGAAGCTGTCCGGCAAGGCGCCCTTCAGCCAGTACGCCTCGCTGGCGGGCGCGGAGGTGGTGTGGGGCAGCCCCACCGACCCCGCCACCTACCCGGCGGGCGCCTTTGACGTCGTGTACGACAACAACGGCAAGAACCTGGAGTCGTGCCAGCCCCTGATCGACCACTTCAAGGTGTGGCAGCGCTAATGGTGTGATGTGAATGAGGGGAGGGGGTGCGGGTAGGGTGGAGTGGGCGCCGGCCTGAGCAGGAGGAAGGTTGGGCCCGCCGGGCGGGCTGGTGCAGTCCACGCTTTGCTCGATTGCCATGCTGGGTGTGCTGCGTCCTGCCTGCTCCCAACAGGGCAAGGTGAAGCACTATGTGTTTGTGAGCTCGGCGGGCGCCTACGCCGCCAACAGCGTGGAGCCGATGCATGTGGAGGGGGACAAGCGCAAGGCGTCGGCAGGTGTGGGCTGGCTGGCTGGCTGGCTGCCGCCTTCCCTTCCGCCACACACTGCAAGCCGCCGCGGTCGCCAGCCGCTGCACGCCGCTGAGGCGATCGTCGGCCGCTGGCTGGTGGCGCGCTCAACAGCAGGCAGCAGCACTGCGATGTTAGTACACCATTGTGAGGCGTGGCTGCATGCGCCTCACCTCCCTTGTCTCTGGTTCTGCCTGCAGGCCACGTGGCTGTGGAGGGGTACCTGGAGGAGCAGCAGCTGCCCTACACCGTCTTCCAGCCCCTCTACATCTACGGCCCCCACACCGCCAAGGACTGCGAGCAGTGGTTCATGGAGCGCATCCTCAGGTGTGGTGTATGTGTGTTTGTGGGTTTGAGAGGGAGAGATAGAGAGAGATAGAGAGAGAGAGAGGTGCGGTGGTGGTGACGGGCTCCCCGCTCCTTGCAGCTGCCGCTCGGCCTGCCCTCCTGCCCTCCCCCTTGCTTCCTCACCCCTTGCTGCCCTCCCCTGCGCGCCCCCGTCCGCCCATCCTTTCTTCCCGCAGGGACCGCCCGGTGCCGCTGCCCACGCCGGGCATCCAGCTCACCT